AACATAAGCTAAAATTAGTTGCAACATATGTTACAACATTATAAGTTGCAATATATATAGGTTAAAACTAATTGCAATGTAAGTTGAAACATTAAAAGTTGCAACATATTAATTACAGTTCCTATCTTTAATTCACACAGATTATCATTTGTGAATCGTTTCTTTACTTTTTTAGCAACTTATTTAAAATGATAAGATAATTGTATTATGTATTTATATTGAATAAGAAATCAATTTAAAATGAAAAATATGTCATTTGAACTTTTACTTTTTCATTTTGATAATGTTCATCTTTATAATAAAAACAACTATTAAAATTTTAATATGATTAATGAAAGCATAACATGAATTTATATATTAATCCAAATTGATTTAAAAGAAACTATACATTTAATTATTTCTGTTAACTTATATAAATCTACAGAAATATTATTAACAATTACAATTATTTCTTAAATGTTATATTAGTAATATTTTATTTAAAAAATGTAAATTTTAAGCAATTTCTTTATTAATATTAATAAATTCTAAAATAATAAATTTATATAATTAATTATTATAATAAAAGATCAAGAAATTTTGCAAAATTAACTTTTATTATTATTTAAAATATAATATTCTAAATTTTTAGAAATAAAGTAATTTTATCTAAAAATTGAGTATTATTAAAAAATGAATATTATTATCAAAAAATTTAATATTTACTTTTAAAAAAATTATAGCAGATGAATTAGAAAATTAATATTTTTATAAAATAAATAAAGAATAATCTGCTATAGATTTATTATAAATAAATTTATTTATTATTTAATTTTATAAAATTCATATTAACTATTATTATATAAGAGGATGCTTATTTTTAAAGGTTTTTACTTTTGGTTTTACAAATACTATAACAAAAATAGCAAAAGTATTTATTTTCAAAAAATGTTTAATTTTAATATTTTATGATATTGTTTAAATTAAAATATAAATAAAAACATTAATTATTATATTAAATCAATAGAAGAAATGTAAGTAAATTTTAAAAAATTCTATTCTAATAATCTGATTAATAAAAAATACCAAAATGAATATTTTCTAAGTTTATTAATAATAAAACCATTATTTTATTCTGAGTTATCATTTTATTTATTAATAATAAAACCATTTATTTTATTTTAATTGTTATTTTCTAAGTTTATTTATAATAAACCATTTATTTTAATCTGATCAAATGGATTTGTCTAATTTCTGATTTATGCAAATTGGTTATAAATATAATGGCTGATTTTTGCCAATTTTTGAATTTAAATTTAAATTGTTTTATGAATGGCAAATGGTGATTTTTTTGATTTTGACAAGTGTATATTTATGAAATTCTTGATGAACAAATAATTTTAGAACTTGTAGATATTTTTAAATCAAATAGAGATGGTATTAACAATTTTAGATGATATAGATAATAGTCAGAGGTTTTAATTAATAGTACTAAAGTAGTATTAAAAAGTTTAGAAAATATTCATATATTTTTAACTCAACAAGAGGATGTAAATAAACATATAAAATCAATAGCAACAAACTATTTTCGATCAATATCTTAATTAGTTTATACAAATAAAAAATTTATGTTTTAATTGTTTTAATTAATTTTTATTTATTTTTATTAATATTTGTATTATATAAATCTTTGAAAAATATTTTTCTATAAATGCACACCCTTTATAAATGCACGCTTATGTTCAGTCCCAAGAGGGGATGCATTTATAAAGAGTTGAATTTTGAAGTTAACAAATATCATGAAGGTTTTTTTTACAATAGACAGCTTTAACCTATGGCCAGTAATTTATAAGCCGGAAATAAAAAAATTTTGATTATACTAATCACGTTAGTCCTTAAAAAGATCCCGGAACTTTTAATGCCAGGATATAGATTTTTTTTGTCCCAAAAAATGCAATTACACGAACTCTTTCTGTGACATTTTCCAATCATTCACCGGCCATTATATCATCCACGACATAAGTTTAAATAATTATTACTAATATCTCTCAATAAAATGGGTAACACAATTTAAAAAAAATTATTTTAAAAGGGTGATTTGAAATTTTTTTTTCCACTTGTTATAAACATTTATTCAAAATGTCGTAATATTTGATTTTTAGTTAGCGCAACACGTCATTCGTTGAAAATCACTTATTATGATTAAAAGCCCGATCCTAGGTAAAGTTAGTTTTTTTTTAATCAATGCATTTAACGAAATTACGTATTTGCTAACTTACCTGATATGGAAACTGTGCTATATATCATGATCCCTACATTTTTAGTGTATTGGATTTACTTCGATCAATTTATTGTGTGAAATTTCTATGGAATAATGATGATGTGGATAAAAACGACCAAATGAGTAATTACAATGGAATGTTGTAATAATTGACGAGTATGATTTTCGGCTCACGAAGTTATAAGGGCAGATGAGTGAGATAAAATATATTTCACAAGGGATATTATTTATCAATGTAATCATGTAATCTTTAAATAATTTTATCAGACACAATTTAAATTTAATCTTTTATCAAGGCAAATTGTATTACATACGAACCTTTATTTTTTTCTTAAATGTCGTTTATTATCAAAGGCTTTTAAACAAATGAAACTATAATATAAAAAGGATATATCGAACATTCCAAACGATGAATTCGTTGACGAAAGTTCCATGGATCGATGATCTTATTAACGTCATTGCTTTTATTTTTATCACATGTTTTTCATTCGCTTTGATTGCAGATCTGTTTATATGGTTTTTTAAAAACATCTTTCCGAAATCTTGACATTATTAATGAGAAGCGGGAATATGCTGCGGTTGTTATTAAGGTTCACTTTTTTTTTTTTAAAAAAAAACGACTTAAGAATTGTATCACCAAATAAAACGAATAAAACAAAAATGAATTCACAATATAAATAAAACAATTCGCGCGATGTCATTATTTGCAAAAAATGGAAGATCTTTTTGAAGACCGTAATCATTTCCTATCGCTTCATTGAATGATTATATATATAAACCACAATAATTTTACTTTAATTAAACTGTATATATAGACAAATTAAATCACCAAAAAAAAAAATAATAATAATAATCCTATTTTAGACATAAATAAATAAGTCGACTCCTAAATTGGCTCATTGAGAATTCATAAAAAGCATAGATTTTATAACTAGTTGTGGCTTTTGATGCAATAGTGCATTTTTTATTATACAGAATAATGTTAATCAACGATAATAGTTTTTTTTCTATAAATCATTCCCAAATTATGTCGGCAAAATAAAAAAAAAAATTTTTTTTTTAAAAAAAAAAATAATAAATTTGCTTCTTTTCATTCTCATTCTTTATTATTTATTATTTGTATTATTATTATTATTATTATTATTTTTTGTAAGAATTCTCCCTCCTATAAATCATCATGACAAGCAGTACTACTGGTGTGAATTCTGTGTATATAAAGGAAAAAGAGAGTGAAATCGCAATTATTAATGAAAAGCGCCGTAAAAATTATGGAACATGTGAACATTGCAATGGTCCGAATACTGCGCATGCATGGTGTTCTCATTGTGACCCAAAATTGTTAATAGCAAAAAGATGGACGAGTGGAAATAAAGATATTGATGATTTTATCAAAGAAACTCAAAATAATGCAAAGTCATATTGGATATACCTTGAATGGATTGAATATGAAAGATTTAAATGTATAAAACAAGTTGGTGAAGGAGGTTTTGCCAAAGTATATTCGGCTACCTGGGTAGACGGAAGAAAAATCACCAAATTCAATAAAAAGTCAAGAACACCTCCCATAAATGTTGCTTTAAAACGGTTTAAAGGATCACAAAAAATTTCCGCTTCATTTTTAAACGAGGTAAATTATTTTTTTGTTTTAAAAAAAATATATATATTATTATGAAGATATAAATAAAATAAACAAACATATATATGTATATTTTTTTTTTCTCAAATAGATAAAGATTCATTACCAATTATATTTGAACGGAGGATTTTTACGATTCTTTGGCATATCAAAAGACCCCGAGACGAATGAATTTATAATGGTTTCAGAATTAGTAAATAATGGTAATTTAAGAAATTTTCTTACCAAAAATTTTAATAATATCTCATGGTCAAAGAAAATTTCATTTTTAAAATGTATGGTCCTAGATATTAATAAGTTACACGAGCTTGAATATTGTCACAAAAATCTTCACAGTGGCAATATCTTATTGGAGAAAAGCGCTTCATTTTTAACAGATTTTGGATTATCCGGACCAGCAAATAAATCTTCAAATGAAGTATATGGAGTTTTACCTTACGTTGCTCCAGAGGTATTATACGGGAATTCTTATACAACCGCAGCCGATATTTATAGTTTTGGAATTATTATGATAGAATTGTCAAGCGGGAAACCTCCCCATCATGATAAAAAACATGATAATAATCTCGCAATAGCTATTTGTAATGGACTTCGTCCAGATTTTGGAAAAGGAACTCCCGAGTTCTATAAAGACTTAGCATATAGATGTATGGATGCTAATCTAGATCAAAGACCTACCGCTAATGAATTATATGATCATTTGTGGGAATGGGAAGAATGCATAAGAGGACGAAATAATAATTCTGATGCAATAAATATTAGAAAAGCTTTTGAACAAGCAGACAAAGAAATTCCGTATATGCGTACATCTTATACGATACATCCTGATGCTGTATTTACAAGCAAACGATTATGTCGTACAAATTTGCCATAATATCATATCATATTTTTATATATTTTTTTTATTTGGGTCGACTTGGTATCTTATTTTCTCAATAAATTTTTTTTTTAATATAAATAGTTTAACTTAGTTTGGATCATCTGGATCATCTGTCTAAATATATCTAATAAAGTACGCCGAATGACAATTTTCTTGTAACCAACGATAATATTTAATATTTTCTCACATTTTTTAATTCGGTTTACAGTATGTATTACAAACATTTAATTTGTAATATACTGAAGATACCACACAATAGGTAACTTGTAACGTAATACGAAAACGACTCGGTCCTAATTTCGAATGTCGATCAACAAAAAACCGTAAAATTCTCGGTGAAAACTCGGCTTGGATTGGATCAATGCGCGGTACAAGTCTTACCCGTAAAATTGAGGAAGGCTCTTCCGAATCATTACAAAATGAAATACCGAATTAAGAATAACCGTTTAAGCTTCATTCATGCATGGAAAGTAATCTTATTGGAGCTGTTAATTCTTGTGAGAGAGAAATTGCTTTTAAATTTATTTTCCCCTTTACTCTCTTCTCTTTAAACGCCCAAAAAATTTAAAAACACGAATCAAAAGAAAATTCATTTTATGAACGTTTAGCAAATTTCAATTTTATTGGCAATGTGATGTGATCGACTCGATTAAACAAAACAATCCTGCAATCATTGAAATTACGACAATTAATCAGCATCAAACACGAGATTTTTTTGCTTTATCTTGATATACCGTTGTAAAAAATCTTATCGCCACGTGATAGATTTGACACGTTTCAATAAAATTAATGTTTTTGATTTTTTAGAAACCTTTCTCTTCCCTTCCTCTATATGCTCATTTATAATCGCTACCCGTATATATCTCTAAATTATCTTGATGATAAAATGAAATCTCATATATTTTTAACAATCATTTTATTTGCCAGATTTGTTCGCGGCTCACCTTTATCCTCCCCTCCTCCTGTAAATGATGAAGCAATAATAGATGTCAATTTAGATAATGGTTTAAGAGACCTTTATATCGTGTCTGGAGTTTCTTTACTTTTTTTACAATTAAATTGGATCGGAAGTTTATATATATTTTATCGTAAGCCTAAAGTCAAATACCGTATATTTGATTGTTTCGTTCTCGTGTAAATATTTACGTGTGCTGAAATCATTTCCAGGTACATTCATTAAATGGCGCAGTAGCACTTGTAATGCCATTCCCCTGTCACTAAGGTTTCCATTTTATATCGCTATAACCGGTAAAATTATCTCATACAATGTTAAAAAATTCCAACTTTCATACATGACTTCATCATATTAATGCGCGTAAATTTACAGACTTTGGACTTGCCGTCCCACATACAATTAATATTGTGAGTATCATGTGACTTGAACAAGAAGTAAAACCCTATTTTTTCTAAACATTCCTTTATTTTTTTATATATATAATAATAATTAGGCATACACAATGATTTATAAACGTACATTATCATCACCAACTTGTGAATTCTTTGGTGGATTAATGAATACATTTCTTTTACTTAATTTATTGATGATTGGATTTATTGCAATAACGACTTGGTTGCGAGTAGTACAAGAAATTTCATTTAATTTCGGAAAATATGATTACAAGTTATGGGCAATAATCATCGGGATAGCTTTAACGTTGGATTGTGTTTCATTTGGTGAATTCGGCGCAAGTAAATATTGGTAAATACACGTATAAATCATCATTTTTGAATTAATTATTCATTACCTTTTCTGTATTAATTATCTAATCATGAATAGGTGCGCAAATATACCAAAAAGTAAAATAATTCCGGGAATTCTCCTAACTTTTATAATATTCATATTGGCTACAATTTTGATTTTATATATACACATTCTACTAATTATTAAAAATATCGAAATCTTATCTATTAATCGTGAACAAACTGGCAGGATAAATTCAATTGAAAATCAGGTTACTTTGAAAATTTTTAGATACATATTAATGTTTTTGTTACAATATATTCCAATTTTGATTTATTGTCTTGGTACCTTATTACAGGTAAGAACCTTGTTTGTTTTAAATTTTTTTTTCTTAAAGCTAATCTTTAATGAAACTTTAGATGGATCATATTTTAATACATGCGATATCATCAACAGGTACGTACGCGTTTAAATTTTTAAATTTGAATTATTATGTGACTGATCGACATTTATTTTCTAATTAGCAATAAATTTCGGAGCAATAGGAAATGTCATTCAATACATTAAAATTGAAGGATGGTCATTTACGTCAATGTCAAGTTTAAAATCTATTATCACAATGACTACATCATTATTGTCTAAACAAAATACTCCTATTTTTCAAGCAAAGAAGAACAATAATTCAAAAAAAGTTGATTTTAAAGACGATAATATAGAATTGCATGATATTGTTGATTCTTTTAATATAAATATTGCTAGTAGTGATGATGATTAAAAATAACATGAAAATTTTCTAATATGAAATGAATTAAAAATGAAATGAATTAAATTTTTTTTTTTTTTTTTAGAAAAATTAGAAGAAATTAAGGCCTATGAAAAATTTATACTAATGTTCAAATATCTTTATATTTCTTTGTTGTCTCATTCGATTATTACTTTATTATAAATGTATATAGGAAGTTTGACTAATCATACTTAAGATTTTCCAGTTCATCTATACTTATGTCTAATTCTAATTGTCTTGTCTCATATTCTAAAGGGGATAAAATTTTAAGTTAAAAATATAATCCTAAATTTAATTTAGTTTTTTTTTGCTTATAATATTATCATTTACCTTCATCCTCTTCTTTAATATCCTCTTCCTTAATATTAACTATGAAAAATAACATACATATCAATAATTTAGATCATGATAAAGATAACTTCCCCCTTTCTTACCGTCAATGATTTTATGATTGTTTGTTGAAAAGTTTTTCCGTAAAGTAGGAAAATTCAAAAATCTACTGGTATAAATAGCTTTAGGATCGTTTGTAATATTTAGAAATTTTTTCGAAGCTTTTTCAGCCTGTTCAAAAATTGCTTTATGTTCGGGAGAATAAAACCTCCATTTGATGAATAAATCACATAGTTCTTTCGTGGAAGGTCTTTTTAAAGGATCATTGTCCCAACATTTTTTCATCAGATCACTATAACATTCTGGTATGCCAGTATAAATTTCGGGTCTAACATTATCACAAATATCGAAAGCCAGGTGTAAATCATGTGGTCTATTAAAAAAAGGTTGTCGTCCCGTCGCGAGTAACCACATGATCATACCAAAACTATAAATATCGGCAGCAGGTGTGTAAGGAAACCCCCTAATAACCTCTGGCGACACATAAGGTAATATTCCATATACTCCAGTCTCATTCACTTGATTTTGATTTTGATCGATTGGCCTACATAAACCTAAATCTCCTATGTGAAATCTTCCCCAATTTCTTTTTGATTTTGAATTTTCAGAATTTTCGGATCTAACTAGTAAGTTACCGCTATGAAAATCGCAATGCATCAATCCCGCCTGATGCAGAAATGCAAGCCCCCATGATATATCCTGTAATGCCAAGAGTCTTTCATTCCATGTTATATTTGTATAATTTTTAGTTAAATATTTATGTAAATCTCCTTCTCCCGCGTATTGCATTACAATGATATAATCTTTTGTTTCTGGATTTTGAGATAATCCATAACAACGTATGATCCGATTCGTTGTATAATCTGCTCTAATAATGATCGCCGGGATTAACTAATTTTAGCAACATGATGACGAGTTGGTGATTAGCTTTAAGATGGAAACAATTAATAGAAATGATCATTTACTTACTTCCTGTAAGGATTTCATTATCAAATCCTTAGAATTATTCAAAGTTTTCAAGGCAACGATTGTTGGACCTTGCCTTATTATATATTTTCCAAGTAATCTATGATATAATTTTGTATTTCCAATAGGTCCATCCAACCAAGCAGCGGATGAAACTACACCATAACCTCCCTTAGCTATTAGTTTGATATCTTGAAATTGATTAAATGGTATCCATTCAACAAATTGGTGGGAATTATGAGAGCTTAATTGTAAATTTCGTATAAATTTATCCACAAATGAACTTTCGCTAGTCCATTTCGAAAATTCTTCACGAAAAAGTTTCGAGTTACAATTCTGACACCAATATATTCCTACCCTTTTCACGTCACAAGTTGGACATTTCGAACCTATATATCCATTATCTCTATACCTTTTATAAATGATATGTAATTTATTCAAAATTGGAATTTTACGATAAGGATTGTTTGAAGATGTACTCATTTAATAATTAATAAAGGAGAAACAAAATTTGCTGATTTAAATGCGCCTTATGCTGTATTTATAATTCGTACAACACACTCATGTGGCTATGAAAAACAGTCCGATTTATGACTTTGTCCTACATAAATATATCATATTATTTTAAATAATGATTTCGTAACTAAAAAATAGGTTTTTTTCAATTCGTTGGGTTTTTTAATCATTTTAGGTTTGTTTATCCCTTTTTATGTTTGAAAATACGCGTAGAATGAATTCAACGTTTTATGTAGTTGCGACCAATAGTGTCAATATGTGTCACATTGAGATCACTTTCAAATATTTAAAGAAATTTTTTTTTAGGTTATTACGTTATAAAATAGTAAAAAAAAAAAAAAAAGAGTACAAAATCAATCCATCATGAAAAAGTAATGACTCGTCTGATTAGTCGAAAGTCATCTAAATTTCCTTTCTAATGATAACGTCACCGATCCTACCTAAATCATTTAAATTTATTTAACCATCTCACGCCCATCTTTATTCAATTCCTTTTTCTAAATCATGAATATTCTTCGTTCTTATAAATTTATTGCAAAGAATATTCGTTCTTCGTCACTTCTGTTTGACCACTCATTGATTAATCCCCATAAATCATCGATTTTATGTTTCAGGAGGGGTAAGATAGTTTTTTAATTTATAGAAAATAATTTACTTCGCTAAAATTTTATAATTATACATACGCAGCAATGTCGTTTGTCCCAAACGTCGTTTCAACTGAATGGGTTGCACAAAATCCTGATTCCATCATATTTCTAGATGGATCTTGGCATATGCCAAATGCTAACAGAGATCCCTATAAGGAATATTTAGAAAAAAGAATTAAGGTGAAATTTATATTTTTTAAAGAAAAATTCAATTATTATTTTTATTATTGCGACCTTAATCAATCATTTTATTTTAGAATGCAAGATTTTTTGGAATTGATGAAATTAAAGATAAAAACACGGATTTACCTCATATGTTGCCGAGTCCTGCAGAATTTGCTAAAGCAGTTGGTTTGTAAAACATATATATGTATTTTTGCTAAGAATTTTATTTAAATTTATTCATGCTGTAGGTGATTTGGGAATCTCCGAAAACGATTACGTTGTAGTTTATGATTCAGTTGGATTATTTTCTTCAACTAGAGTTTACTGGACTTTCAAAGTGATATTTTCGATTTTCGTCAAAAGTTATTTTTTTCTTATTCGTTGATAATTAAATCAAATATTTTTTCTCATATAGGTCTTTGGTCATGACAAAGCATCTGTTCTTGATGGGGGATTACCTAAGTGGATAGGTGAAAAGAGAGAAATAGAAAGTGGTCCAGTTTCATTTACAGTAAGTAAAATATCATCATCTAAAAAAAAAAAATGTTTTTTGTTTTAACGTGTTATTTTTTTTTGTTTAGCCAAAAACATATAAAACTCCAACGCTTAGGAAAGAAGTTGTTAGAAATTATGAAGATATTAGAAGGAATATAAATGATGGACCTGATTCATCGAATTTCGAACAAGTTATTGATGCGAGACCTGAAGCGAGGTAGTTATTGGGTATTTTGTTTAAAAACGTTTTTTTAAAAATTAGGAAATGGTAAAAAAATTTTTTAATTAGATTTGAAGGCATAGCACCAGAGCCAAGACCAGGTATTGTGATACATATTTTGTTTGAAATAAACAAAAAAAAATCACCAGATATTTATAAATATCTTTTTCTTATAATTACAGGATTATCAAGTGGGCACATGCCGTATTCTTATTCAGTTCCATTTAACTCGATAATTGATCCAAATACAAAAACGACATTATTACAAGATGACGAGTTAAAAAGATTATTTGAAACCAGAAATATTGACTTGAATAAACCTATTGTATTAAGTTGTGGTAGTGGAGTTACTGCTACAATGTTGTATCTAGCTTTAGAAAAAATTGGCGCTAAAAAATTGGCCGTTTATGATGGTAGTTGGACTGAATATGCTAGTAAAAAAGGTTCTCCTATTGTTGGAAGAAAATAGAACTGTGAATTAGATCAATTTCTATTTAGGGAAAAGTAGTTATGTATGTAAAATCAATTTCGCTGATCATTGATGTAACGTTGAATTAAGCTTTCCCTTCCTTATTTTGCATTATCTACAAAAAAAAATTTTTTTAAAATAAAAATTCTTACCAAGATGCAGTCTCATGACCTCATATTTTTCTTTCCTGATATTTTTGATATTTAAAGATATTTTAAATTATTTAACTTTGGAAAAGCAAGTTGCTGACCATAGTTAATCCTCCCTCGTTTTTTTGAGAATATAAAATGAAGCTATCACGAAAAACCTCTATACAACAAACTTATGTAACAACAAATCCATTGACGTCATATGATGAATATGCTGACACAATTCTTCCCACAAGCGTCCAACCCAGCTCTCTTTTTTTGTATAGTCAACCGACTGGAAAAATTATGAGGTCTAGAAGAAACACTTTTACTTACGGTCAATCCGGAGAAGGAAGTTCTCAACAACTTGTACCACCCGATCTAAACATGGATAGTCAACTTGTTCCTTACAATCAAGATTGGACTGTTATATTGTAAGTTATTATCAATAAAGTTTTGACAAGTTTTATTAAATTCTTTTCTAATATCATATTATACTCTTCAGGCGTAACGAAACCGCTGGTCAGCTAGTTCTTTATAATACTACCAACCGACGCGTTTCGGTTAGAAGGTTACCACCAAACAATAACCCACTACCCCAGGTTTCGTTTCTCTTAATGATATAATTAAATTTCTTTTTTTTTTTTGTTGGAAATGTTAATTTTAATTTTAAAAATAATAAAGGCATTAACTACACCAAACACGTGCACATTTTGCGGAAGGCCATATGAAGCAAATCATCATATGCCTGGTGTTGGGGTATGTTTCGATATTCCTTTTTTTTTTTTTGGTTATTTGGTTTTTTTTTTTAATTATTTTTAACAATATATTAAAGTCATCAAGTACAGATTTTATACATAGAAATTATTTTCGTTTACTAGAAAATTCTGAAAGGTTGGTACCAAAGTTTAAATTAAATTTATTAATTTCTTTGAGCTCGAATTTATGATTCTCATTATTTGTTTAAGTCATCAACCCGAACCATTACCATTTGGAGAGCCACATCTATTTACAGAACCTTCAACAGAATTTACATTCACAAGCTCAGGTGAAGAAGAAATACATGCTACTCTTTCACAAAATTCTTTTAATCAAGGATATTACGAGAGATTTTTTATTGAAGAAAAAAAATTGGGAAGAGGATTTCGTGGTTCTGTCTATCTTTGTAAGGTAAATTTATATCTGGATGGATTTTTTTTTTTTTTTGAAAAATTTTCATTTAAAAACTCATTATCGAAAAAATAATTTATAGCATATTCTGGATAATGTACATTTGGGAGAGTATGCTGTCAAGAAAGTTGCTGTTGGTGATGATCATGCGTGGTTGGTTAGGATGCTAAGAGAAGTTCATTTGTTGGAAAAATTACATCATCCAAACATTGTGGACTATAAGCATGCTTGGCTAGAAAATCATCAATTAACAAATTTTGGACCACAAGTTCCGTGTTTATTTATATTAATGGAGTGTGCTAATGGTGGGAATTTAGAAGAATATATTGATGAACGTTCATCAACTTTTGCAATGCAACAAGATCCGGAAGAACCGAAATTTAGTACAAAAGATCGTATATTACGTACAAGGAGGATGAGACGTGCACCTGAACAATCATCAACGATAAATGCTCGTGTACAATCAAAACGGTCTTTAAATTTACAAGAGATTTGGTTATTTTTCATAGATATTTGTGAAGGGTTGGGTCATTTACATAGGCATGGTATTGTGCATAGGGACTTGAAACCTTCGAATTTACTATTGCATTATGACGGAGAGAGAACTGGCATGTTAGTATTTTAATATGCTTATACAATAAAGAGATATATATTATATTTCAATATTTTTATTTATTGAAATCAATTTGTGAATTAATTATCAGACCAAGAGTTTTGATATCAGATTTTGGAGAATGTGAAATATTAGATCAACTTTCAGAACGTGATCGAACTGGTGCTACTGGAACGCTCGAATTTATGGCACCGGAATTATTGACTGGTAATAATCTAATGTTTAATATATTATCTTCTTATCTAAAGAAATTTAAATAAACCCATTCATATATTTGTAGTTGATGAAGGAGGAAAATTTTATAAAGATTATTCACCAAAATCTGATATGTGGTCACTTGGAATGGTCCTTTATTATCTTTGTTATTCAAGGCTTCCTTATCATCAAGTTGATGATGTTGACCTATTGAAAGAGGAAATTTTACATTTTGAAGGGTTTGTCATCAATTTTTTTTTTCATGAGCAATTGATTATTTTTTTTTTATAATGAAATATTAGTCAAATGAAACATTAAAAAAATTTTTTTTTTTAGTGTCTCATTTCCAGAACACTTCAACTTTTCAAGTTCATCACATATAATCCCTCAACAACTCAAAAATTTGATTAAATTATTGTTGTCAAAGAATAAGAAAATTAGACCTTCTTGTGATGAAATATTGAAATCTTTTGGAGATATTCGAGCAAAGTTTGCAAACAACGTTTATAACGAAACTCCAGTTGTAAGTGTAATTATTTAAAAATTAAAATTTTTTTGGGTTTGGTAATTTCTAAATAGTTTTTTTTGAATTGCTATTATAGGAATCCTCTTTTAATTCACACATCACCTCAGATCCTATCGCACAAATAGGAGCGTCTAAACTTTTTCGTATTCCTTCAGATAATACATTATCAAGTCAAGAAGATGTAGCCGACATATCGTCAGATTTTGAGTCTCCCATTTTGTCCGACCATTCCACCACAGCCACAAAAACAACAGCTAGTAAAGTTGATCTGCATACAATTTCGACGATAGATGGTTCCTTTACTGAAACTTCTGAAACAGCAAATTTACGTAAACGTAATAAAATTGTTGAGAAAGTTCAAGTTTTGCGGGAGACCATTAACGAAGAATCTTCCAAATCTGGTATTGAAAGGAGACTTGACGTTGGACAATCATCAATGGTTAAGGTAAGAATTTGTTATTTATTTATCAATTATTTTTTTCTTGTACTCATTTATCAACAATACTCTATCTATTCGTTAATAAAAGGATGGATCAATTGATGATAACCAAACAGCCATTGTTCGTGTGACACCTTTTAGAAATTCACTTTATAAAATGATATTTTCGTATAAATGTGAAAGTGGATGGTGGAGAGTTCTTAAATTTATCATGGTCATATTGAAGGTATTGATTAAGAAAAATAATTCTTTTATTTATTTATGAAATGTTAATTTAATGAATATAAAAATATCTGAACAGATTACAACATGTCTGGGGTATTGTTCACCTTATTTACCTCCTCCTTTGGTACTGTACCCCGTTATTATTTTTGCAATAATGGACCTTTATACGTAAGTCATTATATGTTTTTTATGTTGGTTCTTGTTTTATTTATTATGACATTAACCAAAACACGTTATCGTACGATTCATAAATAGTGAACGAATCATCATTACTTTTACATTTTTGGTAATACACTGTATTTTGGTCTATTTTAATAACATATGTTAGATGGTCTTGCAGGAAACGTTAAATAATTTAATTAGTAATTTGTTTTAAAATTACCTAATATGTCACTGCATCAATGTAGTCAATTGTAAAACTTTTGTGAACAATAAAAAAATGGTATATATTTTATATATATATATATATATATATAAAAAAAAAAAACAAAGATATACAGACTTGACTTTTAGAAATACAGAAACAACAGGGGCAGCAGGTTTGATCTTATTATATCCATTAGGCAGTCGCAATTGTAATGTAACACGCTCTGATTTACTCATCATCTTACAGCAACTCTTGTAATAATAAACTCGGTATCTTTGGATGAATTTAAAAGGTTTATGTCTCGCAGCTTCCAGAAAAATGATATGCTGAAACAAAGTTACTTGGAAATTGATATTTTTTTGATCAATTCTCGTTTTTTATCGCTTTTCGCTAGATTTATTTGTGGATGACCTCGATGATAGGATGAGTGCTTATCAATTCATTATAATTTAGCCCTTTTTTATTTTTGGACACGAGAAAATGAAAAAATAACCAATAATAATTTTTATACTAGTATTATTTCGCTGTATATACTACGTCATCATGCATATAACATGTGATTTTTATGAATAAAAGTACGTGTAAACAGTTTCTGGTTTATTTATTTCTCTCTCTCTCTTGAGTGTTGATTCATTATAATAAGTTTTTTAAATATTTCACTTGAGATTTTTACTCGCATTTGCGTAGAGCAAAATTTTCAAAATCGACTCGTCATACAACGCGTCTTTTCGTGTTTTCGAAGTCAATCCTCACCATAAATATAACCCTAAAGTTATTTTTCCTATTATTGCTAATATCCAAGGAGTACGATAAAATATAAATATCTCTTTTATTGTGGAACGAGAGTGGTTCTGTTACCATGAATCTTTGAATGACAAGCAACTTGAACTATTATTTTAGGTAGGTGTTATTTGAATTGGTCACTTGTCTGTTATTAACTTTGTGGGGTCTAGGGGAGCACAGTAAAGCATTATCATGTTCTAGGTCTTGGTGGTGTTTCTTGGTGGTGTTTCTTGGTGGTGTCTCTTGGTGGGATTATCCTCTTGAGACTGTGGTACAGTAAAAGCATCGTCAGAACATTATCATTTCCTAAGTCTTGGTGGTGTCTCTTGGTGGGATTATCCTCTTGAGACTGTGTAAAGCTATGTGCCCAATTTCTCTGAAGCTCGAGAGTAAGCTTTAACAGAATAATACTGTTTGGATGGCATCTGTTTGGATGTCAGACTCTCTTTCGATCGAATCTGGTCTGACCCTCCCCACCTTCTCTTTTTTTTTCTTTTAATATTTAATTATCACAGTAATTAGCGTTGGACCAATCTATTAGAACTCATCGTATAACGAAATTGATTATTCGCAAGATATGACCGGCTATATTATTAATACACGCTCCCAACATCATATATTTATTTGTCCTTTTTATAATGAACTTTTTCAAAACTAATTAACGCACATGCATTGAATAAATATATTTGACTTGATGAAAATACAACTTCAAATAAAGTACCATCTTTTGTATCTATAAAGCAAGTTATTATAATAAATATAATGAAAATCCTTATGGTCGGAAAACAATCAAGATTGATCGTATTTTTGTAGGATCGGTCTAAATTTACAAAAAAGGCTGAGGTCACTTTTTTTTTTTACTATTTGAGCCAGACTTAAACCTAATTAAAACATAATTTTGCCTAACGTTAAACACTCAATTTGTTACACAATGTACAAATGAATTTGCATAAAAAGGTAAATTTTATTAAGTTAGAATATACAAAAACGAAAATCTTTCTTTTACCGTTACAACTTTTTAAATTTTAAGAAATATCTCACACACTCTCTCTTTCTTTTAAGAAAAATCTTTTAAAATGCCCTTTAAACTTCCCGCTGAATGCCTTAATGAGATTTTTGAATATTTAGAGGATGACAAGATTGCTTTACATTCATGTTTATTAGTCAACCGTTTTTGGTGTGAAATTTCCGTTCGAATCTTATGGAGGAATATCTGGAGTTTTAAATACACGCTTTCTATACGATATCAATTAGGTTTTGAATCCCAAATCCTTGGAACTTTGATTTCTTGCCTTCCTGATGAGTCAAAGAACCTTTTATTTAAAAGTGGGATTTTTATCGCCACGCCAACTTCAAAACCTCCATTATTCAATTATGCATCATACTGTAAAGCTCTTTCAATTCATGAAATTGATCAAATGATCCTTTGCGTTCTTGAAAATCAACAACCTATCACTTCACGTAGCATAAACTACAATAAATTTCTAGTATCACAAGAAATATTAAAAATGTTTATGAGACAAATTCCTTCCTTAAAAGAGTTGAATTATAATTCAACCGGGGATAGGGAGAATACGGGGAATATTATTTTCACTTACTTTCCTGGAGCGATAAATTGTTTAGCATACCTTCAAGTGTTAAACTGTAGTTCAAATATTTGTTCCGAATTTTATTTTCAACTGTCTCGAGTGTGTTGTAATATAAGGTCACTCGCTATAGAATTTGAAGAATTTGCGTCTCAAGGATTAAAAGATTTGATCTCCTCACAACACAATTTAAAATGTTTAACATTAATGTTATATGATTACAGTGTGAATTGGACGGAACTTATACCATCTTTAACAAAACATTCGAACACCTTAACAAAGTTAAAACTCAGCGGCTATGGACCTTTATCGTTTATCTCTATCTTCTCAAATTTACAAGAACTCACATTAACATTTAATTACGAAGAATATTTTGAAGATTTTAAAGAGTTACAATACGCTTCCTTCCCTCAATTACGAATCTTAAAATTTTTATATAAATACCCGAAACGGGAATATTTGGCTAAATTTTTAGAGATCAATGGTAAAAGTTTAAGAGGTTTTTGTGCTGTAGGTTTCGATAATTCGTTAAACTTGACATTGGCTAGATTTTGTCCAAACCTTCGATCACTCTATATCACGATCATGAAGAATGAAATCGAAAGGTTAAAAGGAATCTTGAACGGTTGTCAACAATTGGAGAGTATAAAAGTTTGGTGCGGTAATGAATATTTAAAAGAGAGGGATTTTTTGGAAACCTTGGCAACATTTTCACCAAAGAACCTTTATAAATTAAAACTATATAACGTATCAAACTCTGTGTTAACCCCAGAAGATTTGGAGAAATTCTTTACGAGTTGGATGAATCGTAAACCTCAAAGATCACTTTACTTTGTCATCATTAAAGGGTTTGGTATAAGTAGTCTGGAGGTTAAAAAAGGAAATATGGAAATAATCGATAAGTATAAAAAATTGGATGTCATTAAAAAATTCGAAACTATAAAGTACTTTGACGACTTTGCTGTTCTTTAATGGGGGAAAAAAATTTATAAAAATATATATAGTCATCATACATGTAAATAACAATTATTTAATTTAGATTTTGATCTTAATGATTTTAGCATTTACTCGAAATACGTCATACTGAAGTCTTATAAACAAACACAATTCCTTTGTGTGATTATCTTGTATCATTAAAATATCAATTAACTTATTATTAGCTAAATTACTTCAATAGATATTATTATATTAATATTTACTATCTATTATATTTAAAAATATAAATATAAATATGTTATAAACAATTATTATAAAATAATGTCAAATATTTATTATAAAACTTATAATTTAGTAGATTAAAAATATTTAACTTATCAAGTTTAACAACTCAAATGATCCTTAAATTAAAAGGATTTGAGGTAATAAAAAATGAAATTCTTATGGTATTTAATCATTATATTATTTAATAACTAATATATTTTTTTAAATCTTTTTTAATAATATTCTTTTAAATTTGCAAATTTGATATGAAAAAAGGAAGGGGGAAAGGGGAGAAGGGAAAAAGGTAAAAAAAAAAAGAAAAAAAAATTTTTTTTGAAAGTTTATGTTTTATATTGTAGATAGTAGTATTAAAATTTTTTAATTTGCAATATTATTAGTATCTTAATAACTTAATTTTATATATAAATAATAAATTTTTAGATTAAAAATAATAAAACACTTGACTTAAATACAGTTAGGGATTTTACTAAAAATGGATGATATCAATCATTCCTTTTGTGATATAGAAATATCAATCAGAAAGTTCTAGACTATTCTAAAATTTGTTATATAATTTTACATATATGCTTAAACTTCTTTTTATAATAAACTTTTTTTATAATTGTATATAGGTTAAATTTATAAGATAGCTTGATAGTGTAAAGAAATGTATATCATAAAAAAAAACCTTTTGTATTTATTAAAATCATTATAAAAAGTATATGAAATAATAAAAAAGACACAAATATTTATTTTATATTTTTAATTTTACATATGCGATCTATATGCTATTCTTTATAAATACTTATCAATTGAATTAACTTCATTCTTTCGTATTTTTGGATTATCAAAACAATCATTATCATTATGTTCATTATCTGAATTAAATAAAGACCTTACCTCTTCTAATATAATTAACAATTTATTATGCTTCTTAGACTTTATCCTAAAATACTTTTTTTGAACACTTTTGCTTATTTGTTCAAGAAAAACTTTAATCTTACAAATGATTTCTGCTTTAGTCATATTTGCTTCAACTTTTTACGTGACTTCTTCTTGTTTAGTAATCAGAATTAGCCTAAAAAAAAAAATTGAACTATTATTATAAAAGACTTTAGTAATAAATTCTTTTCGAGCTTGCTTTGCTAAACTGGTAAAATTTGTCATCTGTTCACTTAATTCATATTCTTCTCCCAAGCTTTTACAAATAGTTCTTAATTGCGTAGGGTTAACAAAATTGTTTTGTTTTAAACAAATTCTAAATCTTTGACATTCTGTAATTAATTTTGATCAGATTCTTGGGCCACTTGTTTGAAAATTGTTATATTCAATTGACTTAAAAAATTGTTTCGCAACTAAATGTTTCATTAAATAATAAATAATTATAAATTTAAATTATTAAACTCAAATACAATAAATTATCTGAAGGAATTTTTTACAATTCTGTGCAGCTATTTTCCAATGACGTAACTGTGAAATTAGAGGTAGCAATATTTTTAGGATCTTATTTACTTCTTCCAAAATCACATCTAATCCTTGATGCTGATTAAAAGTCCTGATTGTGATACAACGCAATTCTTTTCTATAATATTGTGTATGATTGGATCAAGTTATATCAGTTGTACTTCATCTGTAACTTCTATTAGACGGTATATTGGATAGCGTCATGCTGATCATACTGGCGAAAAGATTCTCTTTGTGGCTCTCTTTAACAATGGATTATTTCTTCTGATAGCTGTTCTATAATTAATGATAGTCTGAAGATAATTAAATATCTATTTAATGAAATTTATTATAAATAACATAAGTCTATTAAATGCTTTAATGAAATATAAAATTATACTTGCTCAAATTTCATTTGATACAATGGATCCTTTTGTTCTTTTATCCAAACTAAGTATCCTTTCACCAATGGATTATAATGGTTCCATATGGCCACATAAGTTCCATAGCCATCACCTGATGATAAATGTTACAAACTGAATTCCAAGATTTATAATGATCATAGTATTTCTTAAAGTAGGCAAATTGATTCTCAGTTTATAGCCTTAGGATATCACAAATTGCTTAATATCAATGTTCCTTTAAATAATTAAAAAGAGTTATGTAAATATATGTTTAAATAATAAATATAATGCAAAACTTACTAATTTAATTTCACAAATACCCAAAGTATATTCATCTTTTCATGCAGTTGTTCAGGAATAAGAATTAGCCAAGGATTAAGGTTGCTGGACGAAATCAAGAGTTTAGACAGACATCTAAATGATAAAAGTAAAACTTGGTTAAATTATATTAAAACCTTATTAAAAAATCTGCGAAATTTGAAAAAAGGTAAAACTATATCAAAGCTTATAAAAATAGCGAAACTATATTAAACACTTAGTAAAAATTTAGCAAAACTAAAGGTTTTACCGTTTTGCCAAATCTAAAATAAGTTTAGACAAGCAATCTTACCAAGGATATTTATCTTTTATTTTAATAATACGATGATACAGAATCCCATCACATGTAACAGCCACCTATCTGTGAGTTCCATCTTTAATTCCTGCAATCTTCTTAATGTGAAAAAGAACTTTTTCAACATTTGCTGTTGAATTCAGATTAATATTAAGAGGATCAAAAACAAAAATTTCTGGAATATTAATTCCCTGATCTGTAGACAATTTTTAAGTAATACTAATTCTTGAAACAGTAAGAATTTTAGTTTCTCTTTCAATACAATATGGTTTATAGTTAATTGATTATTCTTGATTGCCTTTATCTAATTCAGAAACATATTATTTTGGTAATTCTGCCAATATAAAGAGATAATTTCTACACTTTTGACAAATTTGCTTTCGATTATTGATATTTCACTCTTCACAGTTAGGGCATTGTTTGTCGTAGTGATTGTTCGATCCTAAATTATCTATAAGGGAATCAATAACATTAGTTTTATACAATTTTTCTTGACACAACAACTCAAGAATTTCAATAAGATAAATGTGTAATTCGTGATTTATCACTTCTTGCATTTTCAATGGAATTTCAGAAAGATTTTCATACTGTAACCTACTAAGTGAATTAGATATCTAAGGTAAATTAGTATATTTAATACAATCCTAAAGCTCTATATTAAAGGTAATAAAACTGGTACAATATGAAATATCACTGTGTTAATTCCTCAATCAAGATATTTTCATTGTCCTCTCTGTTTGTTATCAAAAGCTATAAACAGAAGTCCTTCAGATAGAGATTCTTCTTTTTCTGATAGTTTGTTTAACCAGTTTTGAAAATGAGAATAACTTCCTGAGCATGTAATATAACCATCAATATTAATAATAGTTTTCAATTACATAATGGAATATTTAATAGCTGATGCCATCAGATTCATTTCCAATACATATTTTCCATGCCTAGACCTGTATATTAAATCAACAGCCATTACTCTTTTATAAACTTTCTCAGTATTTAAGAAATCTATATTAAGATTATTGTGGATTAATGTTTCAATAAACTTTACAATAACTTGATTGTGTTTGCTTAGCCATATCTGCAGAGTATAACTCAATAAATTTTCTAAGGAAAACCTATTACTATCTCTAATCAGAAATTTAATATCCTTATACAAAGATTCTTGTTCAATTAGTGCAATGTTAATAACTACTTGTATGTATTTATACTGATCGCAATATTGAGAATTTCATTGTTCGACGAGCTTTTCATTCTCTTCACATTATTTTTAATATAGATCTCTTATTCAAGCTAATTCTTCAATATATTCATATAATTGCTTTTTCAATTCTGATATTTCACATTCTTGATCTTCTATTTGCTATTGTAATTCCATAACATTGTGATTAAGGTTGCTGGACGAAATCAAGAGTTTAGACAGACGTCTAAATGGTAAAAGTAAAACTTGGTTAAATTATATTA